GGGAAAGCAGTAGAGGATGGCCCAAGTCCTTGGACCCCTGCACCCACGTGGGAGACCTGGAAGAAACTCCTAGCACCTGGCTTCAGATCGGCACAGCTCTGGCCATTGCAGCCAATCGGGGAGTGAAACAGCAGATGGAAGACCTCTCTCTTTCTCTCTCTCCCTTCCCTCGCCCCCTCTGCCTCTCCCTCTCTCTCTGTGTAATTCTGACTTTCAAATAAATAAATAAATCTCTTTAAAAAAAAAAAAAAAAAGAACCACTGCTTCAGACTACTATTTTGGGAGCTGGTGTATGGCACAGCGGGTAAGGCCACCACCCGTGACAACAGCATCCCATATGGGTACTGGTTCATGTCCTGGCTGTTCTACACCCCCAATCCAGCTCCCTAATGCTCCTGGGAAGATGCTTGGGCCCCCACACCTGTGTGGGAGACCTGGAAGAAGTTTTTGGCTCCTGGCTTCAGCTTGGCCCAAACCTGCCCAGCCCTGGCAATTGCGGCCATTTGGAGAAGGAACCAGAGGACTGAAGATCTCTCTTTGTTTCTCCCTGTCTCTCTCTGTAGCTCTGCCTTTCAAATATATAAAATAAGTGCTATATATCAAGAATACCAAGACATTAAAGACAGTTTTCATTTATCTTCAGGAGCAGCTCAGGTATATCCCACCTGAATTTTCTCCCACTATTTAGTTCTCTTAAAATTCTGAAGGCAAAAATATAATATTATACATTAGGAAGGATTGGCTCAAGCATAGAGAAATCCAAATGATTTAGAGCAAGATCCCCAATATTCAACATCCCTGAGTGCCAAACAGGTCAGACAGTTAATATGAATGAGTGAAGTAGGCCAGATACTGTAGAGAATTGGAGAGGCCATACCCAAAGAGGGCAGCTCCGACTCAGTTCCTGATAAATCAGCTTCCAAGAATGTAGGCCGTCGAATATTATGGCCAGATCTACCAAGTTCTCAAGATAAGCTGGAGATACATTTCATGTAAAATCTTTCATATTTTAAATATAGGCGACTAATTTTTTTTTAAAAAATGTGAATATACAAAAAGGTGTGTGGGCTAGCTGCTGCGGGCCTGTGGCCTCTGCCTTTCTGAGCAGCAGGTCTCAGGGGTCAAACATGGACAGCACGCTAATCTCTTCAGTATGCTCACGGCCCACTCCCCACAGGAACGCTCCACCTCCAAAACATACAGCACTCACTCTAAAGACCCACTAAAGCTCCTCTGTGTAAGTTGTTTTCCTCTTAAAACAAGTTCTCTGCTGGTGATCTTAGAATGGGAAAACTATGATAAAGAGAAATAAATTCTTTATGTACTGGAACTACTGACCCAAGAATAATGATTAGGATTAAAGTGATGAGGTTTCAGGGTCACTGACTTCTATAATAATTAGAAAAAAAGGAAATAATCTAGCAGTATAGACTTAAGGATTCAGAAGCATTCTATTGCAATGTTGATTAGAGCTGGTATCTGAAGTGTTTTAGACACCTTTGACTACAGAGACACTACACTGAGACAATCAATGCTTACAAGTACATTGAAAATAATTATACAGGCAACATGAAATAGCAAGCACACAACTCAAATATCAGAAATGCACTCTAACAATGGTAGCCTAGAGGATTATGTTAAGAAGGATTCTAGACATCCTGTAGTATATTAACTAACATAGGAAACAGCATACTTTTAAAGCATAAACAGAATCAAGTCACCCCTTGTCACAGTCTTCAAGTCCACCCATAACAAAGGCTGAGGTCCTTACTACATAAAAGGCCCTGATGTGCATCATACTCTGATCTCACTGCCTGCTATAGACCACATCGAGGTCATTCCAGACTTACCATTTCCTACCTGCTCTGCAAATGGCACCAAGGAAGTCCCTGCCTCAGGAGCTTTGCACTTGCTCTTTCCACTGCCTGAAAAGCTCTTTCCCTGAACACCCATATAGTACGCATCCTCGTCTCACCAAGCAGGACTTCCTTGGTTGTTTTAGTTTTAAAAGCCACAGGGCCGACGTTGTGGCGCAGTGGGTTAAAGCACTGGCCTGCAGCACTGGAATCCCATACGGGTGCCGGTTTGAGTCTCAGCTGCTCCATTTCCGATCCAGCTCTCTGCTGTGGCCTGGGAAAGCAGTAGAAGATGGCCCAAGTCCTTGGGCTCCTGCACCTATGTGGGAGACCTGGAAGAAGCTCCTGGCTCCTGGCTTCGGATCAGCTCAGCTCTGGCCATTGCAGCCATTTGGGGAGTGAACCAGCGGATGGAAGACCTCTCTCTCCCTCTCTCATTCTGGTTCTATCTCTCTCTGTAACTCTTTCAAATAAATAAAATAAATCTTTAAAAAAAAAAAGCCACAGACACACACATTGCTTCTCTCTGTTCTCCAATACACTTTTTTTTTTACATTTTCCACAGCACTTACCACCATCTAATACATTAAATATTTTACTTATTTTCCTTCTTCCAGAATGAAATCCCTGAAGGATGGGTTTTTGACCGTTCTATTCACTAGTATATATTCCTACAAAGTGACACGCACACAATGGCACACACACACAAAACTAAATAAATACATGAATGAGTGAACAAATAAATGATAAAACAAATGAATCTAGGTTCTAGCATGGTCTGACAAGTAATCAGTTAATTAACCTCAGGTAAGTTATTTTGGTCCTCAAAAGATCCCTACAAGTAGTTGTACAAACTATTACAATCCTGCCATTTTACAAAAGTAGGACTATGGAGGAATGACATCATTTCCTCATGGCCAATGAATGGGGGATAGTGGAAAGCTAGGTCTACAAAAGTCTCCCAGAGTTCAAATGCAATGCCCAAACTAAGCTCTGATATAAGTAACAACAGAATTACAACAGCTAAATGTCAAATTTCAGAAATTAGGAATGTAAAAACTGAAAATTGCTAAAGTGAAAAATCTTTTCTAAAAATATTCAAAAAAAAGGAACATAAGCTCCTTAGCTTGCTTTTTCTCCAAATTTTTTATTTCCTCTCATTAAATCCCCATGAACATTAATAAGTGCCTGTGGTTGAGGGAGAATGTTCCATAGCAAAGAAAGAAAAAAACATACCCAGGTTTTCTTAAGAAACTTTGGAATAATTTAATATTCATCCTCTAAAAAAATTCAGAATAATCTTCTCAGAGAGCTTAAAATTAGAATGATTAGCGAAACAACAAAGACTCTAAAAACAATATCAACTGCCTTCAAATCTAATTCTTAAATATGAAATAACAATCTCAAATAAACAAAGTTACATCTTCAACTGATGAATAAACAGTCCTTTTACCATGAACGATTTCAAAATCGACAAAAAGTAAAAAAGAAAGTGAATAAAGGATTTTAAGAGCAAGAAACATGTCACTAATCAGGGACTCCAAAATGACTCAAACATCAATAATCAATCTAAATGCCCATCAACAAAAAATTGGGATAAAGAAATTATGGAATATGTACTTATGGAATACTACATAGCAGGAAAAAAAAGGAAATCTGGTCATTTGCAACAGAATGGATGAAGCTGGAAAACATCATACTTAGTGAAATAAGCCAGTCCTAAAGGGACAAATATCATGTTTTCCCTGATCTGTTACAACTAACTGAGCACCTAAAAGGAAACCTGTAGAAGTGAAATTGACACTATGAGAAGGGATGACTTGATAAGCCCTTGTCTTGATTGTCGAGAAACAGTTTATTATTTTATTTTTTTAACTATTTTCTTTTTCTCTTAATACCATTGGTTGAACTCTTTACTTAATACAGAATTATTCATAGGTATTTAAATGCAATTGAAAATTGATCCCAGTAAAAATAAATGTGAGAATAAGAGAGGGAGGAGTTATACAGTTCAGCACATGTTCCCATGGATTTACTCCTAAGGGTAAAGCTAAAAACTTGCCATGGACTCCAAATCCCATTAAGCTAGGTGGTACTAATGACATCTTACTAGTTAAAGTGATCATTTTAAGTGTATAACTGATCATGTAGATAGAAATCAGTGTCAAAGGGATCACGTAAATAAGACCAAGTGTCTGCTAATAACAATAGATAGAATTAAAAAGGAGAGAATGACCCAACATGGGAAGCAGGACACACAGCAGACTCGTAGAATGACAAACGCCCTAAACAGCACTCTAACCTCAAAATCAGCCCTTAAGGCATTCGGATCTGGCTAAAAAGCCCATGAGAGCATTTCAGGCATGGAAAGCCAAGACACTGGCAAAAAATGATGTACATGAAGGATCTCTGTGCATGAGATCCCAGTGGAAAGAACGGGCCATCAAAGAAAGAGGTACTTTTCTCTGAAGGGAGGAGAGAACTTCCACTTTGCTTATGGCCCTGTCTAAATACTGGCAGAATTTGTGGACTCAAAAGGCTTCCATAGCCTTGGCAGCTCATGACAAGAGTCTCAGGTGATCACTGATGTCATAAATCATAAATAAGAGTGTCAATTGTTAAATCAACAACAGGAGTCACTGTGCACTTACTCCCCATGTAAGATCTCTGTCCTTAATGAGTTGTACTATGACAATTAATGGTAAAACTAGTCTTCAAACAGTACTTTATACTTTGTGTACCTGTGTGGGTGCAAACTGTTAAAATCGTTACTTAGTATACAGTTGGTTTTCTGTATATAAAGATAATTAAAAATGAATCTTAATGAAGAATGGGATGAGAGAGGGAGTAGGAGGTGGGACAGGAGTAAGGTTGGGAGGGTGGATATGGGGGGGGGAAGAACTGCTATATTCCTAAAGCTGTACCTATGAAATTTGTATTTATTAAATAAAAGCTTTCTTAAAAATCAATCAATATGCTATCATCTCGAACTCATGAGATCCTTAGCCTGGGAGCTGCCACCAGGGCACTTATGAGACTCAAATACACAAGAAAACCACAGGCACTTTCCATGAACTGGATGTGTGGCATTTCAAGTAACTTCCCCTCAGGAAGACACAACCATGAACTCCCAACACGACTTACAAACTCATAGTCTCCATCCAGCGGTACTTTCCAATCGGAAGAATTTTTCAGTGGAGCAGGTACACTCTTGCCAAAGCTGTTGACCTGGTTTTCCTTTTCTTTTTGTTCAAAGTATTCAAGGAAAGATGGTTTTACAGGCTGCATGGTCTCATCCCTTCCTGAAAACCAAGAAAAACAAAAGGTGAAGAGGAAAATGTTTATATTTTGGATAGGTTTAATAAATAGATGTGTCTCCAGATGGGCTACAGTCTCTGAGCAGTGGGGTCTTTCTGTTACATAAGGACTCCCTCAAGAATTGAATGAAACTACAGAAAAATGCACAAATGCACAAAATATTTCTCAATATAAGCAAATAACAATTCATCCACTGTGCAAACTATTACATAATTTTAAAATTACATATAAATGGGCTACAATAAAGGAGAAAAATAGGACATAGTATTACATATACAGGATGATATCAATTCTGTAAAATCAAATGGGCAAAAAAGAAAAGTAGTGGAAGAAAATATTCCAAAATGCTAACAGTGTTTGTTTCTGGTAGTAGGACTTTAGATGCTTCAATTTGCTTCTCTTAAACAAATTTTTTTACTTTTAGAACTGGGTCAGTATTAGATGAACAGAACTGATCATAACTAATTTTTGTTCCTAGAAGAACCTGCAGGCTGGGTAGTTGGGGCAGACTGGTACAGGGGGGTTAGGTTGGACCTGGAGCCGTCCCAGGCAGTAGAATAAGTTACACAGCAACAGTCACCATATGAAAGCAAAAACCAGCAGCTACTAGTTACTAGTAACAATAGCAAAATGAGTAATTTCACTTGACATGACTTAAAAACCTATCTAAGTGTAGACATTTGACCTAGTTAAGACACTGCTTAGAATGCCCACATCCCATGAGAGTGTCTGGGTTCAAGTCCTCACTTCCACTTCCAATTCTGGCTTCCTGTTGATGTGCACTGCTGTGGGAACAGCAGGTGATGGCTCAAGTAGTTGAGTCCCTGCTACCCGGTTTGAATCCTGGCTGCTCCACTTCCGATCCAGATCTCTGCCACAGCCTAGGAAAGCAGTAGGAGATGGCCCAAGGCCTTGGACCCCTGCACCCACGTGGGAGACCTGCAAGAAGTTCCTGGCTCCTGGCTTCAGATCAGCACAGCTCTGGCCATTGCATCCATCTGGGGAGTGAACCAGAGGATGGAAGATTTTTTCTCTCTCTCTCCCTTGTTCTTGCTCTCACTCTGCCTCTGTCTCTCTCTAACTCTGCTTTCCAAATACATAAAAATCTTTAAAAAAAAAATTCTCTAGAGAGATTATAACACTTGTGGGCTGTAATCTAAAATATGCCACAAACTAGAAGGACATGGACATAAAGTAAGAGATCAGACCAAACTGACAGTTAGGATGCAACAAATATTTTAGTAGCAGGATCATCTCTGACTCTTTGGATTTCTTTAACTTTTATTTGTTTTCATTTTATTTGTAAGGGCGTTTTTTTCTCTCTCACTCACACACCTACCCTGTATCTACAGAAAGTTTCAGTCTTTGGAACTCAGGTTCAAATTCAACTAATATTCAGTGAATACCTTCTAAATTTCAGGATTTCAACTAGTTGCTTTCCCAAGATCTTTTCATCCAAAATTCATGTCCACCAAACCAGAGGAGGGGAGGGGAGACTTGCATTTATCAGGCACCTACCAAGTATCAGAAAATGCATTACTTCACTGAACCCTCAGAGAATCCTTGGAGACACATTACTGTTCCCACTTTTAGAACTTCAGAGTTGAGAAATCTGCCTAAGATTTCATACTTAATAAGCAACAGGGAAAGGATGTGAATGGCAACTGTCAGGTTTTACATCTGGTGGACTGCCTTTCACATCGTAAATCCTCTCAAAGCAAAATGAAGATTCTCAACAAGTTAGAAATGCCATTTATCTGAGTGCAGAAAGGAGGGAATGGAATTTTCCCAGTAACCTTATCTTTGAACTTTTCTTTCAGCGCCCTCAGCTAATGACCAAGTATGCTGGACAAGAGCCTTTTAGTGCTGAAAAGTACAAGAGAATCAGTCCTGCTGATTAAAGGCCATGCTGTCCCCAGGGGCTTCAGCTTGCCGGTGGGCTTTTGTTTCAACTTGAGCTAAAGTATTTTTCAGATATATCCCAGGAAATGAAGCATTCAGTTGAATGATAATACAAGAAACCTGAAGCCATAAGGAAACTGGACTGAGCAGAGAGAAACCAAGCCTTGAAAATAACCACATCTTTTTCTAATTCTTCTGACTGAGGAAAACATGAACTCCTATACTGTGACTAGCTTATTTTTCTTTTTAAACAGAATGTACCAAGCTAAGGCTGTAGACAAAGAAGTTAATTCATAAGCAATTTATCTTCTATTTATTTTTCTTAAAAAAAAAAATGTAGGGCCAGCACTGTGGCGTAGTGGGTAAAGCCACCACCTACAATGCCAGCATCCCATATGGGTGCCAGTTCAAGTCCAGGTTGCTCCACTTCTGATCCAGCTCTCTGTTGTGGCTTGGAAAAGCAGTGGAAGAGGGCCCAACTCCTTGGGCCCCTGCACCCACATGGAAGACCCAGAGGAAGCTCCTGGCTCCTGGCTTTGGATCAGCGCAGCTCTGGCCATTACAGCCATCTGGGAAATGAACCAGTGGATGGAAGACCTCTCTCTCTCTCTCTCTGCCTCTCTGTAACTCTGCTTTTCAAATAAATTGATTTTTTTTTTTTTTTTTTTTTGGCCAGGCAGAGTTAGACAGTGAAAGAGAGAGACAGAGACAGAGTTATAGACAGTGAGAGAGAGACAGAGAGAAAGGTCTTCCTTCCGTTGGTTCACTCCCCTAATGGCCGCTACGGTCAGCGCTGTGCCTATCCGAAGCCAGGAGCCGGGTACTTCCTCCCGTTCTCCCATGCAGGTGCAGGGACCCAAGCACTTCCCGGGCCACAGCAGAGAGCTGGACTGAAAGAGGAGCAACTGGGACTAGTACCTGGCGCCCCAACTGGGACTAGAACCCGGGGTGCCGGCGCCACAGGCAGAGGATTAGCCAAGTGAGCCACGGCACTGGCCAAATTAATTAATTTTTACTAAATTAATTATTTATTCTTTTGATGTGTGAAATCAGAAGGACACAACATCCCAAATGCCTACCAACTGAAGAACAGATAAAATTCAGTAAATCCACACAGTGGAATATTATTCAGCAATAAAAAGAAATAAAATACTGATACATGCTACACATGGCTGAACCCTGAAACCATTATGCAAAATGGAAGAAGCCAGACACAAAGAGCCAAATATTGTATTTACATAAAATGTCCAGAATAGGCAAATCCAGAGACAGAAAGTAGATTAATGCTTGCCTGGAGATGAGGAGAGAATGGGAAGTGAATGCTAACAGGATTAGGGTTTCTTTGCAAGCAAAGAAAATGTCTGGAATCCAACAGCAATTATGATCTTCAGTACCTCGTTAATACACTAAAAAGCCACTCTACTGCACATTTTACATGTCATATTTTATATGAATTACATCTCAAAACATAAAATTTTTAAAGTTATATTGTGGTGATGGTGGCCTAAGCCTGTGAATACACTGAAAACCACTGAATAGTATATTTTAAATGAGTGACTTGTATGGGAAGTGAATTACATACCAATAACTCAATTTTTTAAAAAAGCAGCAAGACCACTTTCCTCTAATATTTGTTCTTGTTTCTGAATTCATGTGAAGTATAACACAATGCCAGGGTAGTCCCAATGGGAAGGAAAGGAGCTGGACCAAAGACTAACACCTACCTTTCCTTTGGAATGATCCTTAAACTTTTTTAACCCACCATTTGAAACCTTTATTTTTCAGAGTTCCTAAACAAACCACAGTGGCCCAACTATTCTTTCCTTAATTCCTACAGTAACTCTTTTCTACCTAACACTAATTAATTCTATCCAAAGCCTAGGCAAAGCCTGCATTTTCTTCTTAGTTTCATACATTTTTTTATATGAATGTTCCTAAGAAAACAAACTCCAGTAATCTCTCAAATATTTTCTTCTGGCTTGGAATAATATGCACTTTTTATTTAACATAGGTTTTTTTTTTTTCAATCTAACATTTATGATGTGTGTGTGTGAGGTTCTTGGTTTTATTTTTGTTACTGGGTACCTAAATGCTTTGCAAGTATTAATTTATTTACCTGCATAAGTTATTATCCAAGTTGCTGTGTGCGACCCAACAATGCTCCTTGGACTATTTTTTGAAACCACTAAAAAGTGGAAAAAAAAAAAAAGTGCTGGAATCATGAGTTAAAGATGTCCTAGAGCCCAGATTAATTCTTCCAGTTAAGCAGTTTTGTTAACTGCCTCTATTTGAATTGACTTGTTTACTGGGCAATTTTGCTCCAGTTGTTTTAACTCTGGTGAGCTGTAATCAATCTATTCAAAGAGATATAAACCCAAATTCCAAAGAGTGGCATAGTGGGTAAAGCCGCAGCCTACAGTGCTGGCATCCCATATGGGTGCTGGTTCAAGTCCCAGCTGCTCCACTTCCGATCCAGCTCTCTGCTATGGCCTGGGAAAGCACAAGTTGGCCCAAGTCCTTGGGCCCCTGCACCTGCGTAGGAGACCCAGAAGAAGCTCCAGGCTCCTGGCTTCAGATCAATGCAGCTCCAACCACTGTGGCCATCTGGGGAGTAAACTAGCAGATGGAAGACTTCTCTCTCCCTCTAACTCTGCCTTTAAAATAAATAAATAAATCTTAAAAAAAAAAAAAAGCTGTATTATAACTTTCTAGCTGAACAGTAAACATGTTGGAACAGCTTCAAACAACAGGGAAACAGATTCCACTAACTGACCAAAACTGATTTAGCTGTCTGGTGGGCATAAGGGCCAAAGTGTATCTTGGGGATTCACCTTCCTTTGTTCTTCATTACTACTGGCTACTATCCTTTCCTGGGTATTCTTGGCTCTCCTTCTACCAATATAACTATACTGGAATAGCTTATATTCCCAAAAATACAAGCCTCGAGTCCTTCAGCCGAGTCACACTGCGATCTGGAACTTTCCTATCATAGCATGTGGTCTGGCAGAGTGTTCTGAATAAATTCTCAGGCACAAGAGTCTGTGCTTTTTGGCTCATCCCAAAAGAATCAAGAATGTTAATG